TCAATTACGTTTTTCATATGAGAACAGCGACTGCGAGGGACGGTGAAGAAGCTGTGGGATGCTTACCTAACACACTTCCCATAGACCACATAACTGGATCTCGAAATGGCTGCGGAAAGATCTGATACGAGATTCAAAAAATGTCCGAACTTTTGGGACAACCTAATATTTCCATCTGGAAGGTGTAGGGTATAACAAGTGCTTGGCACAGTTCGGGATGGGTGGTATTTTGCACTTTTGCTACTTTCCATCGACGATTCGACTCATCTAGACAGCCATTTGTGAGCTTACAAGAGTTAACAGGTTTACCATGGTGGCTAGACGAGCTTGCTCAGATTCACAAGAGTTCACAGGTTTTACCAGAGTGAGACTTGTAAACCGGAACTAGTGAAACCGCCAAAGTGCAAAATGCCTCCCCCCTCCAGTCAAGCGCCCAAGTGCTTTCACAACACTGGGTCGTAAATACGACAAGTTCACTAGCTCCATCTACAGTTTTTTTTGCCTCGCACTCACCTTCTTACAATGATGCTGCTCCACTGAATAGGGTTCCTTCTCTTTCCTCAGTGGCCTTAATACGACCCCCCCCCTGAGGATTCTCCAACGAATGGTTGACCCTGCACCACATTCAGCTTCACTTCCGTGATAAGGTAAGTCGTGAGACGAATGTAGCGCTCGCGATATTTGCATCGCCTCAGTCGCACTACCTGACACTCATCCAGCTTTTGTGTGATGTTCAGCTATCTTTGCAGCCTCATCGCATCTTCCTTCTGTACTGTAGAAGTTTGGGATTTTACGATTTCCATTTCAGAATAAAACGATTTTCTCCAAGAAATTTTACTTAATCGTTAAGGCACCATTCCGCCGATACCCCTAAGGCTAGAATCTCATAAACGTGGCCATGATGATAATAGCAGAACGACGTGGAGGATATGCTTGCTTTTTGACTAAGTTGAAGGACAACAAGTAGAACGCATCGATGCTTATGTTTTAGGCCCCATTGGCGCCGGATTAAGGCCATAGCCGGCTCACGATTGACCGTGTCGGTGTGACATTGCCATTGCGCTCTCTCGCCGGTCATTTTCTGGCCTCTCTCGTCTCTTATCAGTGTCTCGCCGCCTTTTGCCATCCACAATTGATCTTGACCACGCTCAAGCGCAACGTGCCGGAATGATCATGATCAATTGAAATAAAGAGGGTCTTATTGCGGGCGCTTTTTTCGTGGTTCCTTCTCTTCAATAAGTCAACAATCACAGGGCAATTCTATTTTTGAACTGTATTACCTATGAAGTGTGGTCGCGGGAATTGCCTTTAATCGTATTAAATTCATTTGCTTATTTACATAGACATCGCAATTACAAAAAAAAAATCAAAATGAACTGAGCAGAACATGTTACGCTTAATTTCAATATTTCACAAACATTTCTTCTAAGACAGAAAAACCAAAGCCAAATAGTAGTTTGGTTACTAATAGTGCACCCGGTATGACACGCTGAATAAGCGAGTGTAGTAGCTCTTTTGATGACTATGAACAAAGTTGTATAAATGGTAAGATTGCTGATCGAAACAAGGCAAAACCGAATCAAAGGCAGTCGGACACAACAACGAAACAGCGGCAGGAAAAATATGGAACAAAGCAGAGCAGGTCCTAACGGGAATTTGCTTTTGCGGTATTGTGACTAGCACCTTTGAAGTTAGTACAACGGTTTGGTTATCGTTAAATGGCCAGTTTTCCTGCACCATACAAAACATATCAGTATGGACATCAATGTGAAGATAGAAATGGACGCCAGTAGACTGTAGATGAGCACAAGAGTATCCCGATCTGCTGCGTCCTTTGCCAAACCAGGCTTGACGGTGTTGTTTTCGACTGCTGTTGGATAAAACGCCTAAAAAAGGTTTATCAACAGGAAGCACTGCTTGTGTGTCGAGCTCTTGATCATAGTTGATGTCGTCGTCATCATCGTAATTCTCTTGAAAATAGCGTATTCTCTTTCACTAAATATTTTTTTGTTTGAATAAATGTATAACATGCAAGAACGAGTAACAATAAATTATTTTCCGTTTTTGATGAAGTCCCCCTTTCATGGATAACAAATAAAGCAATAGGCAACCCAGGCGAAGTGGCCTGAGGGACAAGTGGCAGCACAGTGTGCTACTTACTATGGGACAGTCCATAGTTCAAATTTCGGCACAGCTCCCGACCGCAAGTGATTCAGGCCATATTCCAGGCAGGGTTGGGAATTTTTGTCGAGCCAGTACGACCGTCCCCCTTTTTTAGGGGTTGGTACGACCCCCTCTAGGGGTGGCTTGGTACGACTCTTCCTCTGAATACGACCCCCTTCCCACCATCCTACTCACCTCTTCCCTAGATTTTCCGCAAACTCCTAACTTCCCTACTGCTTTTTTTCGCGGAATTCCCGGAAATTTTACCACTGTTCATGACACGAGGCACCGAAATTTTGGTGTCGAGCGGCTACTACACATGAAACAGGAAAAACCACGAAAAGTTGGATCTCTCCCACCAGGACAGAAGTGAAATACTACTCCCCTTCCCTCCCAACAAAGAGCAAATACGCGTTCCCAACGCCCCCCCCTATTACCAACGGTCCCTGGAAAAAGGAAAGTCAACGTGTCAAAAAATTTTTCTACAAGCCATGAATACCGATGAACCTCCCTCCCAAGCAACGCAAGTACGACTATCGCCTTGTTTAGGAAATCGCCAGCAACATTGTGCCCTGAGCATTTCATCTCTCCGGGTCCGTGAATCGGTACCACACTTGTCTGAGAGGATAAAACGCTGAACCCAAGTCAGAGTCTCGTACTTTTTCACCAGAAGCACTGACTGCAAAGGAGTTTTGTGGCAGTGTCCCCCACCACACCCTAAACGGTCATTCATTTACCGAATCGACGTCCGTAACAGAGAATCATTCAGTTGGTGATTTTAGTCGATTACGGTACAACCCTAAGGGGTTGTCTTGATCAACCCCCCCCCTAGTTCCGGTTCTTCTGATACGAATTGAACTCTAGCAGGCAGGGGGGGGGGTGGCGGGATATATAGGCATATATGAAAACAGGAAAAACGAAAAGCGAATAAAAGGGAGAAATTTTCTGCTGCATGAGATTTCTCGTAGAAAGTCAGGACGACGCCGTCACGCCTACACAACTGTAATTTCTTGAGAAATCAAAAGGTAGGAAAGTGGAAAAGTTGGCAAGATAATAGGTAGGATGGGAAGTGGTTCGGTTCAGAATGCGAAAGTGATGGAAGGGGTAGCATTCTCGAAACTTCCCGCGGTAGGACATGCTCGCTCCTATCCAATAAATAAGTGTAATAAATAGTTGAAATAGGTACATTAATCAATCATTAACCATTTGTGGTAGACGAGGTTCGGCAGGCACGTGGAACATACCGTATTCCAAAGTTGGATGAATGTCGTTCCAACTGTGAATTTTTTTGATGACGACATCTCCTCTCAGAAAAGGAAATGGACTGGTATGAGGAGCAGGCGGGAGAACGTCAGCCTAAAGAATCCAGCTGCTATTAACTTAAATCGTCACCTCCCTGCCAGTTTCGCTGTTGAATATGAAATGAATTGACCTCTACAGAAGAACCCCGATCACCCCGAAAGAACTTACTTCTCAATGCCAATCTTCGGTTTCCGAGGTTTGATTGTTGTCTGACTTCTTCTCGAACTCGACGGTTGTGTTTCTTGGTCCTGCTCGTGCCTGATTTCTGCTGAGAGCTCAGAGGCTGCAGGTTTTCATCAGGTTTCACTGCTTGTGTCTCGTCCTCTAAAGGACGGTCCACCTTTGTCAGAACGACTTCAGTATCCGTAATGAGCTGGTGAGGCTCCAAATCATCATCTAGCTCCACCACCTGAGTCACCTCCTTCGAGAGACTGGTGATCTCCTCCAAAAGGGCGTCAGGGTCCGTAACGACTTTTTCGCCACTCGCTGGTGTAGTTGGAGTAGGTGAGTGGTTATCACTAGGTTCTGTGGTGTCAGGATCCGTAACGACTATTTCATCACTCGCTGCAGCAGTTGGGAGAGGTGGCTGGCCATACCTAGGTTCTGTGGGTAAAGCCAGTGATGGGAGTTTCATCGCGTCCACAGGTTCTGCCTCCTGAGAATTCTGATCTTTCCCGACATCAAGAGGTTCTTTTTCATGAGCAGCTTCACTAGCAGCAACTGTTACAGCAGTAGGAGTCGGCTTCATGGTGCTCGAAGGTTTGTAGCTCTCAGGCAAAATGTCATGTTTTTCCTCGCTCATGACAGCTTTTCCTCGATGAATCGTTCCTTTACTTACATCGATGGACACTTTTTGCCTTCTACTCGACTCCCTGGTGGTCTCTCTTCCTGGCGTGTGCTCGAGATTGCCCCCTTTCACCTTTGCACTAGAAACTCCTGCGATCTTTTTCGGAGCCTCCGTTTCCTTTTTCAGAGTGCGTTCAGTGGGGAGGTCCTCATCATCGCCTTCGTCACTGTCGCCTTCGTCCATGCCGAATAAAGTAGACGTGTCGATGTTCAGCGGGGTAATTCCACCGTTCCTGAACGTTGCAACTGAGAACTTCTGATACTATGATGCTCAAAATTGTGAAATGGATTTCACATAACCCACTCAAACCTCATCGACGAGTAGCGGAAATTCGGAGGTGTGAACTCCCATCTTGTCCTCAAGAACATCGACTTTCGGCCGGTGACGACACTCCAGAAGTCTCTGCAAATAAACTTTTTTCTAACGGCAATACCTGCATTAGCATACTGAATAGTGCGCTTGCGTAAATGCAAGGCGGCTGCAACGCTCTGTGATTTTTCCGTCTTCCCCTCCCCTCCCAGTTACTACATAACCCATAACCCAAGCAATATTTCAGCTGACAGTGCATCACCTACGAATGATAGGCTTACTTTTTGCCTTTGTCTTGCCTATTTTGCCTTTGCCCTTTTTCAGCAACGACTCCATTCGCTTTCGCAGTTGTCCTGCGGCAATGCAAGGACTTTCCGAATGGAACCGTTGTTGCCGAAGTTGTCGTATTCAAAGGCGTAGTTTGGGGTCGCAAGTCGGTGGTGTGGGTTCAACAACGGAAGCGTGTGTTTCTCGCCGAATCGCTAATAGAAGAAATCAGAAGAGAAGGCGCCCTAACAAGAATTCCAATTTCGCAGCTCTTATTATAAGCACTTAGGGAGCCTGCGAAGAAGCGCGAGACGAGGAGACACTGGGAGTGTGCACGAATGGCCAGACAGTGAGAGGTGAGAGAACGCCTAACCGCATACACCGCAAGCTAGCGAAATATAAGTGGAATGCCATGCAGCTATGTACGCCATGAGTCTGTATGTCCTATTTGAAGGAGTCATCGCCTGTATCTAATTGGACGGATTCTGATAAATCTTATCGAAGAGAAGTAATGAAGCGTGTATTCATCAACGCTCGCAATCTTCCTTTCTTGTCAAGTGGCCCGACACTCAACTCAAGGCTGTCCTTTTTGGCAAATACGAGAGCGCTTCTGCCACCGTTGTTTGAGGGTCTGCGACCCCTAGCACGTGGATTTCCCACTATCAGTGTACCTCTTAACGTAGCGCGCGCCTAGTTTTTATTTGTGCATCGCCCGGGCATAATTCTAACCGAGCGTTTAAAGACAGCTCCCGCGATAAAAGTCTCATGGATAGCTGCTTTCCAATTATGAAACAGCAGCTGATAAGTAATCTCCCAAAGAAGAAACAGGCAAGAAGCGTTCTCCAGAACAACATAAACAAAATCGCTCCCTCACAGGTCAACCTTCCTGGCTGTATCTGTGCAACCCTTACTCACAACCGTCTCTCTATCACATCTTGCAGTAGTTGATATCATCCAGTGCAAAAGAAAGAATACAAAAAGAAAACAAAAAAGAGAGAAAAACTCTGGGAAGGAAAAAGGAATTTTATCAACACGGTGTCTGAATTTGTGATTACGGTAGCGCACCTTTTGTGCGTCGTGGTTTTGCATCACGAAAATTGCGTCACTCGTGTTTTTACGCGTTTCACCTCGCGAAATGGGTTGAATTGAATGTATATACTTCCAATGAGTGAACTGTAATGAAGGAGAGCAGAATTATCCAGGGGCATTAGCAATGCCCGCCGCCCAACTAAGAACAAGTGAGTGGCCTCCGTCGGAGGACATCTAGCAAGTAAAGGCGGTCCGACTGAGGAGGAGTTAGAACTAGCACTTTGAGCGGCTATAGCAGCCTCCACGCTCACAATAGAGTCGCGAAAGGTGAACAGTCTTCTAGCTTGGAGGCTAGACTACTTGCACAGCAAAGGCGACCACGAGCCACTTTGATCGCGGGGCTGTCTTTACAATGAGGGCAAATCACTTTAGTTGGGGATTTTGGTCGGCGCCCTACGACCCTCATAAGGAGGTGGCTTGACAGCGGCCCCTAAATTTGCTTTTCTCTCTTGATCGAAGCGACGGGTATAAGTCCACCTAAAGAAAGTTACGAAGGAAACACTCTACTCTTACCATCTTTTCCCGAAATTCTTACCGATTTTTTAACGATCTTCCCGGACAAGTTCCTCACTTTTCCCCAGAATTTGGGTATAAAGCGCACGTAAAAAAGAGAAAACCGCGAAAAGTCAACAACCGGGAAAGATTTTTCCTAAACACCGCAAAGGCAAATACGACCCCCTCCCCTACCCCAAGAACCCAACAACAATTGAATACGATCCCTCCCTTTCTAGCGTGCGTGAGAAAGAATATCAACTTTGCGAATATTTAATTTTCTAACGCAGTTACGACCCCTCTAGCCAGAGACCAAATACCGAGCCCCCCCCCTGTAGGGATCCGCAAGATCAATTGTCTCTGGTAAGTGATGATATTTCCTTGATTACTTCCTGAGAACTATAACGCCACTCAAGACAGTCCAGTGTCACACGTAACCTGCGCCTCTCCAGCTTGCACTTTTGCGAGAGCTCGCCGGACCAGACGTAACCCATTCTTTAGCCAATATTGTTCATACCGACTATTTTCTCGTTTCCGTTCTAGTAACTGGGTGGGATTGCAAAGCCTTTTTTCTTTACGAAGAACCTGACAAATATAGTGCCTTTTTTTCTTTCCGGCGAGCCTCTTAACTACTACACGATTGATAGGGCTTTGAATAGCTGTGAGCCATGCGAAGCTCGTCTTCACTGCGAAGCGGTTAATTACAGAACAAGCGTGCCGTATAGAGTACTGCGACGTCGCGCTTGGGTTATGGGTTACGTAGCTCTGGCGAAGGGGTGCATCAGAAACCACCACAGATTCACTTGTAATCCGATCTCAAGAATATGTTAAACAAATGAAGAACTTGCCATCATCCTTATGGTCACCGGTACTTTTGAGTAGATCATCGAATGGCGACATCGTCCAGACGTCTCCCCAAACTCGTCGTATTCTATAAAAGATCTCTTGTGGAGCGATGGGGTTCAGTTGCCGACGTGGCGTGGTCGTCTTGTGAATTCTTGCCCTTGACGCTTTTGATACAGGAAATGGCACTGGTGTGGTGGTGGTAGTACTGGTGGTAGTAGTGCTGGTGGAAGTAGTTATTGGTTTCGGGACCGTCGTCCTCCTAGCTGTGGACGGTTTGTGGGATGTCTTGGTATAGCAATCGATGGTTCAAAAGTTGTTGTCGTCTTCAAAGTCGGTGCTGGCGAATCTTCCAAAAGCTCTTCCAGAAGTGATGTGAATTCCTAGAAGAAAAGGTGTAAGAAGCTGTGTAAAAAGTAAGGTAGGTTTCAAAATTATTCACATACCCTTCTTTCCTGGGAAATCGTCGAGGAGAGTCGTGAACATTACTGGAGTGTGGTTCATGCTATGCGATTCCGATAATTATTCATGTTGTTCAGCTCCTAGAAGAATACGCATGGGGAATACAGTGGTTCAGGCTTCACGTTTATTTTGATTGCTTTGTAATATTCATATGACAGAACACGCGGTCACTTGGTGTAGGGTCACTGTGAAATGCAGTGATATACCGACCGACCGGTCTAAGTCCTGACCGGCACTCCAGGAGGCGCGATTACACAAGATTGAAGAGTAGTGTTTCCGGTGCGTTTGGGACTGCTCGCGCGCTATCCTCACGTTATCACCACCTGTGTCGAACAAATGCGCAAGCGAACACATCACTCAGAGGTAGAAAAACAAGTGGACGGTGAAGGGCGCAGGCAAGCGCCCGTGTATGGGTATTGTAACGCTCCGACAGGGATCAGCGCGATTCGGATGAATCATGCCAAGGATCGATGATGACGTGAACCGTTCAGGAATGTCCGACGAGCAGATCTGGAGGAGGAGCTTCACAGGAGTCATTCTGGACCGTACCCGTCACCCTGCCAGGCCTCGGGCCTGAAATGCGCCCCTTCCACTCGACGCGAAGCCTGCGCCAACAAGGGCCATCCTCTCCGATAACCGCGGTGTTCTTTGTTGTAACAGTTATATGATCTTCAGTATTCACGAACCAACGGAAATCTTAGCTGGATTAGTCCTGCCGAGTCCAAAAACAGCAGTACCCTCCAGCCCTATTCCTGCACTCTCAAAGACACTTCCCGCGATCAAGTGATTAGCAAAATGTCTCTGTGCATTTGGCACCGTTGTCCGCTCTCGCAGAGAATATACCACTTTCGTCACTTGAAATGGTGAGATAGTGAAGGCTGGAGACCCGTGATACATTGCAGCCATGCAACCAGAAATTATTTTCACTCTGCAAGACAACGGCTTACAAGCGGAATTGAGTGGGAACATAGCGTTGCCTGGAGCTTCGTAGGACGATTTCTTACGCTCTTGCAGGGAATTGGTTGCACTCAGAACCTGCTGGTTGAGCTGTCCTCGTGATGAACCTCGTACGCAAGACGGCGGCCCTCTGTTAAGGGGTCTGTGCTCAGGGTGTTCCCAAGGTTTCTTCTCGCTTTTCTCTACCTGAGTCTAGAGATGAGTTTCTGATGGGCTTTGGTTCACAACTGAGCACCTCCTACCTTTCACGCATTGAAGGAACCAGGAGCCGTAGAGGAACCAGGAGCCATAGAGGGGTGATAAATTTATAGCAGTAGTTCCGAAACTGACAAAATCGATTATTTCAAAAAACTTACCTTATCAAGTTGAGTCTCTGTCAATTTGCTGTTCTGCTTCACGAAATCGTACATTTGGCATGAGTCCAGGTCGAGATCGTCGAATAGAGTGTCGTTAGAAGGCAATATGAAATTTGGGAAGTAGTCTCTGGAAAGTTCATTAGGTGAGAATGATAAGCGATCAGGGGCTACTTTTACGCTGTGGAGGGGAGAGAGGGGGGTCGTATTAGGTCGTTGAGAGAGTGATGGAGGTCGTATGTGCGTCCGAGAGGGGGTCGTGTTTGGTCGTTGGGAGAGAGAGGGACGTCTGGGATTTGCTTCATTAGAAAAGATTTTTTTGACCCCGTCGTTTTTTTGACCCCGTCGTTGACTTTCGCGTGATTTGCCTGTTTTCATGTTTATATGGCGTTCTCCCCACCCCCCCCCGCTGGACAGCAGAGCTTTTGAGGAAACATAGGAATTCTCGGTAAAATCCGAAAAAAGTAGTGGGACAATTAAGAATATATTTCAAGAAATTTCTCTGTTCGAGCACGTCTATTTACTCACCCCCCTCGACGGAAAAGTTTTGGGTGAAAAACTGGACTGGAAAATGTGGGAAATTGGTAGGTGGGTGTCGGGGTAAAGGAGGGGTCGTACCGAGACCCTCATTGTTAGGTGTGGGGGTGTCGTACTGACACGCCTCTCTCGAGGGGAAAGGTCGTACCCGAGGTTACAGCATGAGGATATGCGAAATGTCGGTGTGAGTACGACCCCCCCCCCTTCGAATGGGGTCCAGGCACGACCCCCCTCCCTCCACCTCCACGGCTTTTTTCGCCGACGACGCAGCAGGAGTAATAGTGTGCGAAAAATTCCGAGGGGGGGCAACTTCTATCTTCCTTGATTAAACAAAAAATAATACGACCCCTCCTCCGCCAGAGCAAAAGTTCGCATACCTCCCCGCCACGGTTTGACACAACGATGCGTACTGGTCGTACCTAACTACCATTTCACATATCACCATGCTGTCCCTAATGCCGCCCGCCAAGCTCTGTTCCTAGCGAATAAACGTTACCTGAAATTCAACCGTCGGAACAGCTTCTTCGCGTTAGCACAATACATCGTAACACTATTCTCTAGGCAGAGAGTATTCAAGTGAAGATATCTGGAACACTTCGATATGGCCATGTTTCAAGGCATATTCGCAGCTCGTCGGAGCACACGGAGCCAGGCACCGTTGCAACGGGCTCGCGTTTTTAATGGTGCTGGTAATAAGGAAAGCACTTAGGGTAGCGCGCCGGTTCAGCGACCTACGACGGGGTGAAATGTGCCTTGCGTCGAGAGAATAGCGGAATTACCTGCAAATTTTCTGGCTCGGAGCGAGTGACGGATCCGCCTTTGATTTAAGTGTCTCGGCTTCTTTCAGAAACTTCATACCAGGTCCTCTCATGGGAGAGTGGTACCGACTGCACATCTCAAAGCGTTCTCCATTTCTAAAAATCGGTTACGCCATTGAAGATGACTGAGCTGATGCCTTGGTGCGCCATGGCACGAGATCCTGCCAATCATCGAAAATTCAAGATTGGGAATTCAATTGCAAAAGAACAGTAATTAAGCAGATTTTCCCCATCGGGCTTATTCGAGTGCTCATCCTCATGTCAACTGATTTTTCTTGTTGTTTCCCTTATGTCACGCTGTAGTCGCACTAAGTCAGTGTCAGTTCACATGCCGTGACATACACCTTTTGATAATACCCAACCACATATTGCCCCAGACATACCAACCTCCATGAGAGCACGCATCCCCAGGCGTATGCAGTACACTAATAGTAGTCATCAGACCAACAAAAATCTCAAAGTCACCTTTAAGAGCGTATTTGCATCTCGATCTGACAAATCTGGCGAAATTCTCGTGTTCAGGTGATATGTGATCGCATTGCTTCATGCAGTCCAAGTTATCATAAACTCTCCTGAAGAGACACCCATCTTCGATGCAGTCAAACCTTGAGGAACGAGATCTTACCAGCATGCATCGCGTAATGTGCCAAGTGGTCTTTGAGTTTCCAGAAGATGGAGTAGTTTGTCGTCATCGAGCCCGACCCTCGCTAGAGATCGCTGATGGATCCGATCACACCGCTGTTTGCAGACATCCTAGAAAGGAACTTTTTCTTCAGACGAGCAATCAACAAAAAAGATGCGCCACAGTCTAAGGCACCGTCATAACCTGCGGCCAGTGCATGGGTCAAGGATCCCCAGCTAAGGAGGTCTCGACGGCAGTTTCTAGGGAGGAATGAAGTCAAAGGAGGAACTTCTAAGAGACAGGCCGTATTTTGCGCGAATCCTCCCCTTCTCCCCTTCACAATGGCAGAACGCGCTTTGTCTGCGACAGCCCAACCACTACAAGGGACCGTGGAGCGCGCTTACACGCGACATCCCTGAGATGCAGTGGGCGTGGCTGCGTACTTCAAATAAACGAGGCGGTAACTGTGCTTTTGGTGAGATATTTTCATTTTGAGACAATCATGTTTTGTTCAACACAGAACAAGATGACAGTTGTCTCATGTTGAAATATCCCACGAGTAACCCATCCTATGCCATGTCCAAATGTCACGCCTACTCCATTTCAGGGATAAGGAATGTACAACTCTCTCGTCCCTCTCATCGTTTCATTTCGTCTATTCAACGCACTTTTTCTTTTATTTGCTTTTAGACCGGTTTCATTTCCTAAGGTAATCGAAACATAGGCGCTAATGAAATAAGAGCGGGGCAGGACATCTGAAGATTCCTTGTTCAAATCTAGACTCACAGCGATGGAGATGAGGAGCTTTGCCTAACTCCAAAAAAAGGAGATACGGGTTGGGCGACCAACAAGCATAGCGGTCCTGCTTGAACGATGTTAGTGCCAATTTTGCACAAAGTGTCATTCAGTGCCAGTTTATTAGCGCCGGAATATATTCCGCAGAGGGGTCGCCTCAGCGCTAGCGCAGTAACTGACTCGATTTCCATTCCAATACGAGCAAGTTCTTCCCAAGCTCCCTCTTACTCAATGTATGATTTTTCACCAGAGAATTTTGAACCGAAAAAGCCGTTAGGGAAATGGCGAACACATACCTCAGCCAGAACCGTCGTCGCTAGAAGGAGAACAGCCCACATTTCCCGTCGCCGTCCAGCGTTAGCTACATTCCGCGCCAGTATACCACAGGTCTGTAAAGGAAGCAAGTTATAGACTCTCACCTATTTCCTTCAAAACCTCGACAACTAACTCGTATAACTTCGGAACAAATAACCGGTTTTTGTCAATTAAGTTGCCAAGAAACTTTAGTAATGATTCGATCGTAACTCGAATATTTTTTTGTCTCTATTCGAACATGGGTCTAGAAATGAAAGTGGCCACTCCAGAACGGCTAACCCTGCTCCTGTTAGCGTTTCTACAGGAACAACAAAGAAAATGCCTAACAAGGGAAGGATGGTAGGTCGAAGTGGCCATTTGAAATGAAATGTATACCGGCTGAAAGGTCTTCGGACGGGAATTACGAAACCGTCTTCCATATCTGCTGCGGACCTCCCAGAAAGAAGTTACGCTGTTGTTCAGGAAGAGAATACGCGCATCCAGTACGAATTGGAAGTGTAAGGCCAAACAAGAAACATAATCGCAGCAGTGTGGCCAAGTGGTTACGTCGCAGGGTCTCACGAATGCGTGATCGAGGGTTCGGATCCTTGAGCGTGTGCTCTTTTATTTTTTAGGACGTGGTCTCTGTGCACTTCAGAGTCCTTTTGCATAGCTCTTGTGCTTGATAATGTTTCTGAAGTGATGGAGCCATTGCGAATGATTCCATGGAGAACATTTTTTGGCTGTTGACTTCTTCTTTCATTGATTTGAAAAGCATATTTTTCACAAAAGTGCATTCCAACGAATGAGTTTGCCCTGAAAAATGACTTTATTCTCCAAACGACATGACTGGAAACCGAATCCGAAACCGCACGAAGTTGTGCGCAAGGATCAGTGTAGTTGGAAATGCTCTCAAATATCGTGGCGTTGATGTGACAATCATGCTGGAGATCGTGATGGGCAAAACCTTCATTCATCGCTCACATAGTGTTGAAGGATGTCCTACCCCGAAAGTGGTGCTTTCGCACCTGCTGGAAGTTTTCGGCTCGTATGACAATCTCTTCAGCCAGAAATGTTCTCCATGGAATCGTTCGCAATGGCTCCATCAGTTCAGAAACATTACGTCACGACATTATCAGGCACAAGAGTTATGCAAAATTGCTTGTGCACAGGGACCACTTTCGAAAAAATGCAAAAGAGCACAAGCGTCAAGGATCCATCTCCAGGACCTCGTCAACGCAAATGAGGGCCCTATGACGTAACCACTCGGCCACGCTGCTACGTCGAATCGGCCTTACGCCGCCAATTCGTACTGAATGCGAGTATTCTCCCCCTAAAAAGCTCCGTAACTTTTTTCTGGGAGGTCCGCAGCAGATATGGAAGACGGTTTCGTAATCCCCGTCCAAAGACCTTTCAGCCGGTATACATTTCATTTCAAATGGCCACTTCGACCTACCATCCTTCCCTTGTAAGAAAATGAGAAGAATAAAAATTCACCCGGCCTTAAACTGAAGGAGCAAAGTGGGTCAATTGTCTGTCCTGGTACGACAAGTATAGTAAGGGTTTTCGTGCCAATTTCGGTGGTCTTGCCCAAGTCGGGAATTCAAGAATTTCCTTGGAATTCTGTCCCCATCCGGGAATCTAAGATGTTCTCCTGAAATTCTGTTGAGAAGAAAACAGGGAGAGAAGGCCATTGACGGCTCAGACAGGATCGTTAAAGTAGATTTTTTTCGAATTTTGAAACAACAGGTGCTAGGGGAATAGCTAGTGAAAAAAACAGAATACTAGCTAGTGCGAAAAAAAATATATTCTCCCGAATACAGCGCTATTAAGAACTGCTAGTGTTCACTAGTCGCATCACTCGACAAGAATACGGGGAGTAAAGAGAAAAAACTGACAGGCTAAGAGAGGCTGAGGAATTTGAGAAAAAGACGAACAAACGACATGACATTCATTAAAACGCAATTTGGGCAGGGACTGATGCTTCGCGCCTAAAGTCATAAGCTGCAGCTGCGCTGCTGCACACGCTCCAAAGCCCCCCCGCCATGAAGGCGTACCACGGTCTTTTATTTACACTAGAGCTATCATATGATAAATCGATAATTCGCGATTGTGCCTTAAGTCCTCTGAAAGGCACAAGACCTCTAAAGGCGGCGGTCCAGTCAAATAGTAAGAACCATCAATGAGAATTTCTAACAACAATCTCATTGGCATAGAGAACTATTAAAAATATCCCGCAAATTACTTCACTAATCATTATAAAACGAGCTTCTGAAGGAATAGACGAGAGTGTCAGTTATAAAAAGACCTTCTTATTGTTGACAAACAATGAACTGGCCAGTCAAAAAAGTCAGATTGTGCACGGGAGTGCTCGACGGTGTCGAATTACATCCGATAGCACTGCTGAAGGTGAGAGCACAACAGCGGGTTCAGAGGTGGCTATTAGCGGATGAAAACAATTTGGAATAGGGTTAATAAGGGCAATGGAAGTTGAATAAGTAGCGCATCCCGGAAGAAAAAGATCTACGAGTCGGACCCGATCTCAATCGCTTCGTTTCCGGGATGCGCTACGATTTCAACTTCCATTCAGAATCGTGGGCGTAGTTGAAGGCAATTTGGCCCATAGAATGGAGTGTGGGGACCAAGCGATGCTTGAATCAGAGTTTTTATCTTTCCAAACGAGTCTGTTCCAGTCAGCTGACCCTGGAGAGAGGAAAGACTTCGTTGGCTTAGGCAAAGACCAAGAGCATGATAAACGGCGCTGTTTGGCTCTACATCAACCGCTCAATCACCTTGCTATTTATGTCTAATATTTTGTCTATAAAAGCTATTATCGCTGAGTGCAAAACTGCTTACTCAATGGCTGGCTAGCTGAATCCACACGGAACAGCGACAAATTTGGTTTTGCTGTGACCTGCACCGCTGCAGAACGACCGATTTAAATGCCATTTAGTGGCAAATTACAGTCTTATACTGGCCATTCTTGTACTACTGAGGCTTAAACAAAGATATCCTCTTACAGGAGCCAAGGCCAACATCAAAGTATTTATCCTAGGAAAAAGTCAGAAAAGCGACTGAGGCGGTAGAAGAAATGGTATTAGTAGTTTCCATCATGCAACGTCAGAGATGAACTCGCGCGTGAGTGCAGTTTGGTCTAAATGACGCTCCATGGTTGGAATTCTCTGTGATGGGGAACTGCGGCTAGACCAGTAAAGTTGTACGGGGCGGGGTGATAGCCTGAGAGTATGGTGAAGTAAGAGGATAGCAGTCAGCTTCGTGGTTTGGGCGTTGTGAAACTGGCGGCATGTGCAACGCACCGTACATTAAATTGCATAATTCTGTGCTCTAGCAGTTGTGCGGTGAGGTTGCACAAGTCGCGATTTCACGACGCCTAATCTAGCCGTTTGCTACCCTCTTTATTCCCCATACTCTCTACTCTC